ATGGACCTCATAGACATATACAGAACATTCTAAAACAACAGAATACTCATTCTTCTCGAGTGCACATAGGACTTTCTTCAGAAATAGACTGCATACTGGGTCAAAAATCAGGTCTCAACCAATACCAAGAGATTCAGATTATTCCCTGCATATTCTCAGACCAACTTTGAAACTGGAACTCAATCACAAGAAAAAGTTTGGAAAAAATTCAGACAGTTGGAAGCTAAAGATCATCCTGCTCCAGAATGTTCAGGTCAACCAGGAAATCAAAGAACTTGAACAATTCTTGGAAACCAATGAGAATGAAAACACATCTATCCAAAACCTAGGGGATATGGCAAAGGTAGTCCTAAGTGGAAAATACATAGCCATCCAAGCCTCACTCAAAAAAAAAAAAAAAAAAAGAAAGAAAGAAAAGAAAAATCCTGAATACACAAACTGTCTTTATACCTTAAACATCTGGAGAATCAACAACAAATTAAGCCTAACCTATGTGCCAGAAGGGACATAAGATTAGAGCAGAGATCAATGAATTAGAAGTCAGAAATACAGTAGAACACATTAATAAAACTAAAAGCTGGCCCTTTGAAAGAAATAAAAAGATTGATACATCACTGGCCAAACTTATCCAAAAGACAAGAGAAAGAGCCCAAATTAATAAAATTATGAATGAAAGGGGAGAGATCATGACTAATACTAAGGAAATAAATAGAATTATCAGAAATTATTACCAATGGCTATATGACAATACATTTAGCAATCTGGAAGAAATGGAGGCATTCCTAGAAACCTATAAACTACAAAGACTGAAACAGGAAGAAATTGATAACCTGAATAGAGCAATAACCAGTAACGAGATTGAAGCAGTGATCAAACACCTCCCAAAAACAATAGTCCAGGGTCTGATGGATTCTAGAGAACTCTATCAAATATTCAAATAAGAAATAATAGCTATTCTCCAGATGCTGTTTCAAAAAATTGAAACAAAAGGAAAACTTTCAGACTCTTTTTATGAGGCCAGCATTGTCTTGATCCTGAAACCAAGAAAAGACCCCACCAAAAAGGAGAATTTCAGACCAATATCTGTGATGAATATGGATGCCAAAATTCTCAATAAGATCCTAGCTAATAGGATCCAACAATACATTAAAAAGATTATCCACCATAAACAAGTATGGGATTTATCTGTGGGATGCAAGGGTGGTTCAACATTCACAAATCAATCAATGTGATAGAACACATAAATAAGAGAAGAGACAAGAACCACGTGCCCCTTGCAATAGATGCAGAAAAAGCTTTGACAAAATACAGCATCCTTTCCTGATTAAAACTCTTCAGAGTACAGGGAGAGAGGGAACATTTCTCAACTTCATAAAATCCATCTATGAAAAACCCACAGTGAATATCATTCCCAATAGGGAAAAGATGAGAGCCTTTCCATTGAGATCAGGAACATGAAAAGGATGCCCACTCTCACCACTGTTGTTCAACATAATACTAGAAATCCTAGTAACAGCAATCAGAAAACAAAAAGAAATAAATATATTCAAATTGGCAAAGAAGAAGTCAACTCACTCTCTTCAGGTGACATGATTCTCTAGTGGAAAACCCATACTCATACAGCAATTCAGTAAATGTGGCAGGATACAAAATCAATACACCGAAATCAGTTGCTTTCTTATATACTAACAATATAACTGTAGAAAGAGAAATTAGAAAATAGATTCAATTTACAATAGCACCGGAAACCATAAGATACCTTGGAATAAACCCAGCCAAAGAGGTAAAGGATTTATACTCTAGGAACTACAGAACACGCATGAAAGAAATTGAAGACAAAAAGATGGAAAAATATTCCATGCTCATGGATCGGAAGAATAAACATTGTTAAAATGTCTTTGCTGCCCGGAGCAATCTATACTTTCAACGTCATCCCGATCAAAATAACAATGACATTTTTCAAAGCACTGGAACAAACAATCCTAAAATTTGTATGGAATCAAAAAATACCCTGAATCGCCAAGGAAATGTCAAAAAATAAAAACAAAGCTGAGGGCATCACGTTGCCTGATTTCAAGCTATATTACAAAGCTGGTGATCACTAAAACATCATGGTACTGGCACAAAAATAGACACATAGGCCAGTGGAACAGAATATAGAGAACCCAGATATGGACCCTCCTCTAGGTCAACTATTCTTTGACAAAGAAGGAAAAAATATCCAATGGAAAAAAGACAGTCTCTTCAATAAATGGTGCTGAGAAAATTGGAGAGCTATATACAGAAGAATGAAACTTGACCATTCTCTTACACCATACACAAAGATAAACTCAAAATGGATGAAAGACCACAATGTGAGATAGCAATCCATCAAAATCTTAGAGGAGAACATAGGCAGTAACCACTTTGACATTGGCCACAGCAACTTCTTTCAAGACTCATCTCCAAAGGCAAGGGAAACAAAAACAAAAATGAACTCTTGGGACTTCATTAAGATAAAAACTTCTGCACAGCAGAAGCAGTCAACAAAGCAAAGAGACAACCCACTGAATGGGAGAAGATATTTGCAAATGATACTACAGACAAAGGACCGATATCTAAGATCTATAAAGAACTTCTCAATCTCAACATCCAAAAAAAACCCAAAAAAGTCATAAAATAAGCAAAGAACATGAACAGACACTTCTTAAAAGAAGATATACAAATGGCTAACAGACACATGAAAAAAAAAAGAGTTCGTTATCATTAACCATCAGGGAAATTAAAATCAAAACCACATCAAGATACCACCTTACACCAGTTAGAATGGCAAAAATTGACAAGGTAGGAAAAAACAAATGTTGGAGAGGATGTGGACAAAGGGGAACCCTCCTATACTATTGGTGGGAATACAAGTGGGTACAGCCACTTCTGAAAACAGTGTGGAGGTTCCTCAAAAAATTAAAAATAGAGCTACCCTATGACCGGCAATTGCACTACTGGGTATTTACCCCAAAGATACAGATACAGTGAAAAGGAGCACATGCACTGCAATGTTCAAAGCAGCAATGTCCACAATAGCTAAACTGTGGAAAGAGCCGAGATGCCCTTCAACAGACAAATGGATAAAGAAAATGTGGTCCATATACACAATGGAATATCATTCAGGCATCAAAAAGGATGGATACCCAACTTCTGCATCAACATGGATGGGACTCGAGGAGATTAGGTTAAGTGAAATAAGTCAAGCAGAGAAAGTCAATTATCATATGGTTTCACTTATTTGTGGAACATAAGGAATAGCATGGAGGACATTAAGAGAAGGAAGGGAAAAATGAAGGGGGGTAAACTGGAGTGGGAGATGAACATGAGAGACCATGGACTCTGGGAAACAAACTGAGAGAAGGGGGCAGAGGAAAGAAAGAAAGAAGGAAAGGGGGCAGGGGAAGGGTGAACCTAGTGATGGGTAGTACATAGATTGCATAGAGCACTGGGTGTTATACACAAACAATGAATCATGGAACACTACATCATAAACTAATGATGTTAAAAAAAAAACCTAATGATGTACTGTATAGTGACTAACATAACATAAAAAATATGTTATATGTAAACAAATGGACATGACTGTATTCCAAAAAGTTTTATTTGTCAAAAAGAGATGTGTTCTTGTTTGATCTAATATAAATTATTTAAGAAATGATAATGAGAGGAAGCAGAGAATAGTTGAGGAGATACCCTTGAATAGGTGAGAGGGGAGGGAATTTGTCTACAGGGATTGGAGTTAAGCTTTCATTATGAATTCAACCAAGTTTGAAAAACAAAAACAAGTATATGCTGAAGTAGGTAAATGTGAAGAATAAATCTGTGGGAAAGCTCTTGTATTGCTTCTGTTATCTCAGGAAAAGTAGGAAGTACGATCACAATATTTGAGTGGCCATTAGGAAGAAGATTTGGGGTTTTAAGAAGGGAAGATGCATGAAATAATTGCATGAAAGAGTTGAAAAATAATTGGGCTGAGGAAATACTTTATATAGTAAATAGCAAATTTTCAGTTTGGAATGTTATAGCTGTTCTTTTCCACATTGGACCATTCATATACTTTTATTATAATTTATATATATATGTGTATATATACACATACACACACACACATATATATATATATGTATTTTTCTCAAGCACTGGCTAAACTTGTAGCATTATCAACATATTTTGAATCATTTAACTTCAATCTTCAAAACTCTTATTTTTCTCCCCAGGGGAAAAAGAGATTGTTGCAGTCTATTAATACCTCTCTTTTCAGACAGCAAAATCAGTAACACATTTTATCCATATATTTTTCTAGTTTAGCAAATCTTATTACTGTTAGAAATTGTTTGTACAATGAATATGCTTCTGTCACTTCATCTCCGTTTCATGCATTTATCATATTGAATTCTAATCTACTCTGAGGGTTTGCTAAACTTTTGCTTCAATGATGTATCTTCTCTGAAAGAGTTCAGATATAATGAAATATATTATGTCCAGTATTTGTTTAATATTTTGTCACCAATGAAATATAAATTATTGAAATGGAATATATTCACATTGATTGCTATGAAGTTTACACATGGATTATAAATCAAAACAAGTCCTTAAAAGATAGAAAATCAATTGATGTGTCAGATAAAAATGTATAAATGTTGAAATCAACCACTGAATGGACATTTTTCCTCTTGAAATAATTTAATATACCAGAATTTGAAAAGATTTGTGTCTTTGAATGCACATAATAAGGTAAAAGTGAAAGACCGAACATCTGAAATTTTGTTAACAATACTTCAAACAAATACAAGCCAACATATTTTAGAGCGAATAGTTGTTTGTTCTCTCAACCAATCACAGAAATTTTCAAGGAGACCAATCAGAACTGTAATCTTGTGGTTATGCCCTGAGTAAATATTAACAATATTTAAATTTATATAGGACACATGTGTACACAGTTATATTAACATAGTGTCTTTGTTTTTCTTCTCCAGAACTGTTATCCAATTGTCAGCAGTTGAACTGTCAGTATAAATGTGCAATGGTCAAAAATAGTACAAGATGTTACTGTGAGGATGGATTTGAAGTAAAAGAAGATGGGAGAAGCTGTAGAGGTAAGTATGACATGTGATTTTTTTTTTTTTTTACAAAACCTTACTTTACAGAAATTAATCAAGTATCTTTGAGCACCTATCATGTGTTTCATACAGAGGTTAAGCTAACTTTTTTTTTGTTTGTTTCTTGAGATTTAAAAGATGATACTCCTACATAAATCATATACATAAACATAACAGATATGCATTTTACCAGTCAGTTTTCAATTCATATTTCAATAATATCAAATATGGGAAATGTCAAAAATGGGAAGTGGTTTGGGTTAACCAATGAAATCATTGAATTTAACAGTTTTAACTTCCTAGATGTTTTCTGGCAGTTATACAGCTGCAGTGTAGTAGACATTTGTTATTAACTAAGTTAGGTTAATAATATTGTGCAATGTTCTTTACAATTTTTCCATTTTTTGCATTGGTAATTCTGGCAGTTGGCATTTTGCCAACAGCAATAATGAACATAAAAATATTTATGTGTATTTTTAATGTCTTAATTCTTGCTTTTGTGAAAGCTCCACAGGACATGTTTATAAACCTCTGAAATGACTCCACTCTGCCATACTGAACAATTCTAGGTTACTTCTCCATTCTATTAACATCTATTATATATATGTTAGTATATGTATATAAATCTGTAATATAAGTAATACATTATTTTGTATAGTACTTAGAATCTATATATAGAAACATAAAATTTAGAATCTATACATAAAATCAAAGAATATCTGCATTGCTAGAGCCACTAATAACAGACTGTTTTACAAAGAAACTGGTGCTTTGCCAATTGCTTTAAACCTTTTCTTTAATATTATCATTTTTACATAGAAACAGAATCTTAAGGTTGAAAGAGTTCTCAGAGAGAATATTGTTCAAACTCTAATGACAAAAGTGAGAAAAGTGAGACCCTGATTAAATTAAGTAACTTACTTAAGTCCTACACATCTTCTTAGTAATAGACTTGGGACTAAAGCTCAGGTCTGCAGAGTCCACTTATTCTTGTCTTGAAGAGGTTCATTGCTTTTTAATGTACATCTGGGGTTTGAGTTTTTCACTTGTTGTTTGTTTGTTTTCTGCATAGTACAAATATTATAGAAACATTTATTATTAAGTGTTTGTTAGACTTGGAGGTTATTTAATCTGACAATAGGTGGATCAAGCTGGTGTATTTATTTGACTCACACCAATTTTAAACCAACATTTAAAAATCAGAATATTGCACACAAAAGCTCAGACTATTTTTTTTTTCAGATGGAAGACCTTGCAACATTAGACACCTTATAAACCCAAATGTCAGCCATATATGAATAGTACTTCTGCATTCACTCACACATGCATGCAATTTCCAGTTCAAAACAGCTCTTTCCATTCACACAGGGGAGGCTAAAATACCTATACAGTATTCTTACCCTTTTGCTACAACTGACTCTTATAGGAGTCAAGATTTTCAGCTCTTGTTACAATGGATCTCTTTCTCCCGAATCTCCTCATTAAATCCATAAAGGTAATCATAATCAATATCTTCTTTTGACTATTGATAAGGAATTACGCATCGATCAGTATGGAAGGTCACTACTGAAAGAGGAGCTCTTTTTACTTTATCTGCCACCCTGGACGACCAGAACTGAGCATCATTAATGCTTTCCTGAAGCCATATTTCCAGGGTAGTTTCTGTCCTCAGAGGGAGAAAGAAGGCAGCATTATAAGTAATGACATTCCTATTCCTTTGTGGCCAATTTTGTGGAGTTACATAAATGTCATAGCAGTGCATTCTGGCTAAAAAGAACAACAACAACAATAAAAATCATTACTCATATTGCTCTCCTGGATAGCATAATCATGTCAGAAAAGCTAAAATAGGAATCAATAAAATTAAACCTGAAAAATCTGTGAAAAAGAAGAAGAATCATTTCTGCCACTAGGGGCTGGATTTTACCAAATGCAAGATTTAATTTCTTTAATTATCACTGTAAACTTAACTTCAAAAACTTTTCTTTTTTTTCCCAAAGCAACTTACTTCAAACAAACCATCCACGAATGCAAGCTGTTATATGAAGCCAAGGAAATCTGAGAAAAGTGCAAATTAATGCCATACAAATGCATCGTTTCCCAATTTAAATGGCCCCTTAACTACTCAGGAATATTTTTGCTTTTCCTTAGTAAACTCTTTTCTTAGCTCAGTGTTCAGAGGGTGGGCTTTAATCATCCGTTTGGTCTTTCTGGTGAGGAGCTCCCCCCACGCCCATCCTGGCATCATCCAGTGGCCCCACCCTGAGTCACCTCATTGACACAGACTAAGGTATATTCCAAATGGGCTCATAAATAACAAAAGACACTCCTATAACTCAGAAAATTGCAAGGGCTTTAGGAACTCTGTGCCAGAAACTGAGGATAAAGACCAAATACATATTTTTATATACCACTTATTCCTATTTTAGTATAGCACCATTCATTTCCATCTATCCAGTTTTCACATGTTGTCTCTTCTAGTTCTTAAACATTTCCGTCCATTCCCTCTTCTCCATCTGCACTACCACTGACTTAGTTCAAATTTTAATAGAATTAAAATACAGTTTCTTGCGTGAAAATAGCACATAACTAATTTTCCAGGATCTCTTCTCTACTTTCACCAGTCCATGTTTTATTTGCATTATAAAGTTCATCCAATTAATGCTTTCACAATGCCTACATACAATGTACAGCCCTTTACTTTAGCATACAAATAACTTCATTATCTGGCCCCAAAACTACTTTCTCAGTGCCATCTCTTATCTCCTCGCTTATCCACCCTTATTCCACTTGACCCTTTTTACTTCTTCGAAATCCCTACTATGTCATCCCAATATCATTTCACATGCTATTTTAACTGGAATGCCCCTTTCCATCTTATCCCTTCTTATTGAATCTGAGAAAATCCAAATCATCCTTTAAATCCAAGTCAGTATTCAGCCTTCACTTAATATTCTCCCTCTGATTCCAAGCAGGTTCACTTCTCTGTGTTCTCATAACCAGAGTATGCCCCTATTACAAGGAAATGCATAGAATTGCAATTATATTTCATTAAACTTGTTTCACTTAGAAGTAGGAAACGTGTTATCATGTTTTTTGTTTGTTTGTTTCATCAGGGATTAGTAGAGTACACAGTACACAGGACAGACTGAATATACATTAGTCCAAATTAGTAGCTGACATATATATATATATATGCCTAGTTGGTTAAGAATCCTTAAGCACTTGCTGTTTAGAGAGACTTGAACAAGATGCAGGAGGCAGGAAAGGGAGGATGGTAGGGAATAGAAATAGGACCATAGATATTATTAAAATTTAAGATGAAAGTTTTCTTTTCAATGAATGCTTAATAGTTTCCTGTTTTTGATCCAGTGAAGGTGATTTGTATAGCTGAGCTCAGAACTCTTAATCTGTTCATTGAAAACCACATTACCAGACTAATTCTTTGTTAAAATAGTGAAAAAGACATACACTCTTTATTCTTTAAAGTGCATTTCATATCTTTGCAAAAATATCCAAGGATTTCTAGCCTTAATATTATCTTTTAAAATTAAAAATTAGATACTAAATTTGATGTTTTATCTCTGTAACTATTAAAGCAACTTTGAATTTTGACGTTCAGTTAGTGTGGTTTGGAAAAGACTTATTGCATTTGTTTCTTCCTTTCCAAAATAATTATCTATTTCCAAAATTTGAAAAAAAAAAAGTTTTCTTCTAGGGGAAAAAATGCCTAACAATAAATCTGCTTAGAAATGATGCCCATTTTCCTTGTAGATCAAGATGAATGTGCTATTTATGGCGCATGCAGCCAGACCTGCATAAATACATATGGTTCCTATGCCTGCAGTTGTGTGGAGGGCTACATAATGCAGCCAGACAACAGATCTTGCAAAGCCAAAAATGGTAAGTTATATATATTTTTTTGTCCTTGTAGAATTTCTTGTTTCCCTTTTGCAGTTCCTTCTCACTAGAAATGTAGTACAGTACTATGGACTTGGAAGGAATAGATTTTTCCTTCATTTTAATTCACTGATCTATACCTAAAAATCCAGAGCAGTTATTTCAGTTGTCACTGATCATCATAAAACTCCTTCCATTATAGGAAGTTTCTAGTTTTGAAAAACCCGTTCAAAAGAAATGGATTAATTGATCTGAGTTAGCCATCTCTCTCCCACACTAGGCAATAGATTCCTGTTTTCTTTGAGCTCCTGCTTTCCCACCAAAATTCATACTCAGCATAATAAAGTGATCTGCTAAAATGTAAGCCAAATCATGTCATTCTCATGCTTAAAATCTCCCAATTACATTTACTCATCTTGAGAATAAAATCCAAACTTTTCACAATACATGTAAGGATCTAATGCTGTGGTATCATTTACCTCATCCATCTCACTTATTGCTACTCTCTGTTCATCACTCATCAGCCATACTGGTTTCCTTGTCCTTCTTCTACCACATTGCTCTTGCTTTGAGGTTGTTCCACTTCCTGTTTTATTTGCCTGCAGTGCTTTTCCCTGTGATATTCACATTCTTATCATTCAAGTCTTAGCTAAAATGGCAACATTCAGAGTGACCTTCACTGACCATTCTGCTTAATGGCGTATACCCTCTCCATTGCTATCTTATTTCCCAATTTTATTTATTTATGCATTCCTACTCAATCACTATATGATTTTTCACTTTTATTTTCTTTATATCCCTACCTTTTGAAATGAACTCATTATGTATTTGCTTATCATCTGATTTCTCCAGAATAATGGGAGTGTTATGAGAGTATGGAACTTGTCAGTTTTGTTTATTGTTGTTTACTGATATCTGATCATAGCCTGGAACACATAGATACTTGATGAATATTTGTGGAAGCAAGGAAGGGAGAAGGGAAAGAAGGGAACAAGGAAAGAAAAGAAAAAGAAAGAATGAACTTCTCTTTCTGGTTAAAATTACTAAAATGAACGTTCCTCTTTTAAGTGTTTGAATTTCATGTTTTAACACATGTTTTCCTTTTACTTTGTCCCTGCAAATAAAGCCTATAGTTTCTACACAGCATTCAGCCTACAGTAAACACTCAATGAATATTGATGATTTGCTCATGAAATAGCCTTGAGATGTGTTAGTAACAATAGGATAAATCTAATTTTTTTGTGGGCTGAATTAAGAATAATACAAGGAGATATGTACACGCTGTTCCATCTAGCTTCTTTTGACTTTTCTGAAATCTGGTTTCATTTTATGGATTTTCAAATTATGCTATTTTGATAAATTAATTGAATGTCCCCCACCCCCTTTTATTAGTGAATGGAAAAGTAGGAAGAGACGAGATTCTCTTTTTTGAAGCCAGATTGAACAAAGCATTGGATTTGCTTAGCAAGCTGCCACAGCTATTTCTTTACAACATAACCTCATGCTGTACTTTCAACAATTTCCCTGAGTGTGTTCGGTTATTAACTAAACATATTTGTATACCAAATTAGAAAGAACTCTTCTATTTCTTAGTTTATTTCTTTGAATTACTGACTTAGTTTGTGAAGCCCTACTTATGTTTCGGAGGCAATCCCTGAAAAAAATTAAGTTAGTAGTATGTTCTTTTTGTCTACCAATAAGAGTTCTGATTTAAAGTATTGATGGGCTGAAGATGTAGAAGGCTTGTTCTTTGCTGTTTCTATTGATCCACACAATATCACTGTGGCTATACAGGGAGGGTGTAATGTGATAAACCCTACACAGAGGCACTTCCTCTCTTTCTATGTGGAGAAGGTATCTGCCAGTAACAGAATGTAACTAGGGAGGGATGCTACTTGCTAATGTAATGCTGACTCAAGGAGATTTGATGACTCCAGAATTGATAATAGGACATATAAAAGCCTCCACCTCTTGGTGGCTGGCTTGATGACAGTATTGGTCTACAGACTTTAAAAAATACAGTTTTTATGGGAATGTTCCTGGTGTTTGTAGTTTTAGAAAAAAAATGAGTTGCTGGTAAGGCAGTAAATGGCACAATTCTAGAACATATACTGACTAGTTCTAAAGGTCACGTTGGGTATTTAAACCAAAGTATTCATACAAAATTCACAAGGAAAACTATCAGTTTTCTTTTAGCTGTCTCAAATTGATAACAAATGAACCAGAGGGTATTATGGCTTCAGGTATATACAATTTTATATAATGCATCAACCTTATATTTTTGTGGTGATTTTTTCATATTATAGTGCTGCCATAACTGATGGGTGCTAGGAAAATGTTTTAAATTAAACTCCATTTGTCTTAAGTCTTTGCCATTCTCCTTTTCCTTTACCTGGCTGCTTAGATTGGCCCCACTTTTTTCTTCCTCTACAATCCTATCCTCCTGGGCTCTGGAACCTACCTTTTTCTCCCAGTCAAGCCAGAGTTCCAGGTGTCTCAGAAGTTGGGAACATGGGAAACTATGGGATATTAGGATGGGCTGGCCCAGAACCCTGGATGTGTGTAAAAGATCTATAGGCTTTACAAAGGGAAAAAAAAAAAAAAAAAGAATGAAAGAAAGAAATATCAAGCCCAAAGGATACGGTGGGAAGCTAGTACTAGACTCAATAGGAGGATTCTGTAAAGGCCTTACTAGATGATAGACGGGAAAATAAAAAGGATCTTAGGAGATCTGCATTTTGAAGGCAGAGAGAGGCAGAGTCAATTGTCTAGGAATCTGCTTATAAATTTCAGCATGGAATAATATCGTGGTCACTCTCCAACTGTTCACCCCAGAACTTATTTGTGGGATCTTATTTTCAATGTAACAATTAATAGTAATTAGGTAAATTAATGTAAATTGATCGATTATCCCTCCTTTGTAACATAATACCTGAATCCAAGTAAAATTCATAAGCCTTAAGAGTACCTTCAAGAAATAATTCTAGTAAGGGGGAGGGGATTTTAGAACCTGTGGCAGATGGGGGAGGAAATTAATGTTAGGCAGGAGGCCTCCTCATTGCTGTTAATTCATGCAATGCAGACAAATTCTTTTCTTTTCTACCCTCTGTAAGATTGACTTGACTACTGAAATGTAGAATCAATTATTCAGGGCTGGGAGGAACTCAAAGGTAATTTAGTCCAACTATCCATTTGCTATCAAAATAAATAATTTCCAAATGGAAGAAAATTTTAAATGTACATTTAAAGATAATTTTAAATAGTACTTGATAGTTCTGTGTAAGAGGAGACATACTGGCATATGAATGTCATAGTGGAGTGTTGATAAATGGAATGGGACTCACATTAAAAGCTAGTAATTTTTGAACTAAACATTAGGATTTCTCATTTGAAAAGAATGTTTAAAAATAATCATTAAGGGGTTCCTGGGTGACTCAGTTGGTTAAGTGACTGCGTTATGCTCAGGTCATGATCTTGTGGTTCTGGTATTGAGTCCCACATCAGGTTCCCTGCTAAGCTTCTCCCTCTTCCACTATCCCTGCCTCTGTTCTCTCTCTCTATGTCAAATAGATAAATAAAATCTTAAAAATAAGTAAATAAAAATAATCATTAAAATATATATGTATGTATCTAGTAAAACTTCCTATATGCTTTTACTTTTGCTTTTTTTTTTTGACATTAGAGTTCTAGAGAGTTGTCAAATCTGAAAATGGGAAGTTTTTTTTCATTTTTAAAAAATTTAATTTAGCTTCTTTTAACTGATTTAGACCAATTTTGATGTAGAAATATGCATTAAATGTAGGCACCAAGGGCTAAAAGTGGACACTTGTAGAACCTGTAAAAATGAAAGTAATGGCCAAGGGTGTCTAACTTATGAACTGTTGCCAGTTTTACTCCTGATCAATTCAGGCTCATTGGACTGTACTTTTCCGTCTCGTAACCACTCGCCAAAGGCAGGCATTTAACCCAGTTTAAAATTCTGCAGCACCAATAGGACTCTACTGACTGCGCTAAAGCAGTCCCGGAACAAAGAGCACTAAATAATTATATGCTCATCGGTGTAGAGACACTGCAGTAAGTGGCACCATGAGAGAGAGAGTGTGTACCTCTTTGCCATGTAGCAACTAGAGTAGTGAGAGAAGAGAGCCCATTAAATAACTTCAGGATTCTATTACAGTTTATACTGTGCTATTCACTGATTGGAATGATGGGGAGACCATTTAGGCAATAGAAATACAAATAAGAAATACAAATCATAATCTCTATATAATCCATGGAAACACAATCCTAGGTGATGCTAAGGAATGTGTTCATACCACTGGTATTCTTTGCTGGTATTCTTAAAAAGAAAGAGAGAAAGAAAGCAAAATATAATGTCCTATGGCTCCTACACCTAACCTCCAACTCTATTATTATCTAATGTATATTTTAAAATTTCCTTTTAGAAGGTAGAGGAATCATTCATGGTTTTCTGCCAGGGGAATTCTGCTTGTAGGGAGAATAGGCAGGTGCCTGTCTAGAGAGGGAGGAGTTCTATGTTTAGAGTATATCATAGTCTGTGCAGCCACTTGAAATGCTTGGAATTCAGTAGTTACAATATAATTGCCTGCCTGATTTTTTTTTTTTTTTACTTTTTTAAAAAAGAAAGCACTCTATATTAAAATGCGAGTATTCTTAGGAAGGGTGACATATTAAATCTTAGTAACCTTGATAATTTATGAGACTAGTGGATCAAATCTCTTTCAGTATACCATCTGGCTAAGAATGGCTCCCAGCAGAATGATAAATGATTATGTCTTCACATACAAAGACTCACTATTCATAGTTTTTACTATTTTTAGGTAGTCCAAAGGTCTAGTTCTTGCACAATTCGTCATTTTATTGAGACATAACTGAGAATGGTATTTGATGACATGATAGTATATGAGACTGTGAGATAGGAGTGAGCCTAGTGGACCATAATCATAGTAACCCAGATTTGTTGTTGTTCCTTATGCCTTCAC